AAGGTGATGGCACCTTTGGCTTGATGAGCAGCATGTTCCACGCTCTTCTCCTGCTTTTGTCTCGTATTAGCAAACAGAGACCACGCTTGTCAGAGTCTTCTGGCAAGCACGGATTGCCTTTTCTGCAAATGGCAATATCTCCTATCTAGAGACAATGCCAGCTTCCTGATCCTGATTCTTTCTTTAAAATTTTCTGTAAATAAAACTTCTCAGGAAAAGATCTGGAGAAGGCTTAGGTATAAATGACCAATCCCGTTAAATGACCTCTTCTGCGGGATGATTTTAATTTTGTTTGTAGTTTAGTACATCTATATTTTCAGCCAAACGGATAAAGCCTTGATTGTAGAATCTCTGAATTCACTCAACTGTGTACAAGAAGTATTTTTTATTCAAAAGGACCAGGGAAATGTGGTCTACTCATCAAGTGTTTCTGAAAATCCGCCAAATAGTCTCCTTCATTAGCTACTCTTTAAGTTGGCCCTGATATAAAGAGACGTTGAATCCAGTACAACCCTTGACTGTCTACTGACAGACCATAACTGATCTCTTTGGACCCAGACCATGCTGGAGCACAGCAGGGGAGGCCACAGGGCACCTACACATCTCACAACAGCCTCCTTTGTAAGGCTAAACAAATATTTGCCTCCAATATGCAAAGCTGCGCTATGGGACTGGGTTTTTACACATACACTCCTATACACCTCTATCTTTGCTGCTTGTACTACAAGCTGTACTAACATCCTGCCTGGAATCCTGGAGGAAAGACAAGCAGGATGCAGGGGGGCAGTCCTGGATATTTTAGGAGCCTAGTACCTGCATACGTCCTCTGAGACCTCTCAGAGCCCAAGCCAGCTTACATAACTGGGACTCCATCTTTTACAAGGAGGTAGAAGATTCCAGATGTTGTTGATACTTAAACCATAGACAAGAATCATAGCTAAGTCTGTATTTTTGAATACTATTTTTGAATGTACAAGAGACATCCTGGAAGATGTATGAAATGATAACCATAAGTAATATTTAATAATAAGTTCAGGCTTAAGCCAACTTAATGGGAAATATGATAGTAAAGGAAAAAAGAGCTGAATTGAAATACCAGGTACTCTTTGAAGCAGGTTTGCCATCCATCATCCTTAAACTTGTGCAATTGGCTAAACCATCAAACCACTGTCTCCTCAAGTATAAGATGGTAGTCTGCAGGGGCTTGTTGTCTTCCTTTCATTGAAAATATATTTTCTCATGTAATATATCCTATTGTGGTTTTCCCTCCTTTCACTCCTTCCAGTTCTGTCCTCCCCTCCAGATCTACCTCATTCTGTCTCTCATTAGAAAACAAACATGATTCTTAGTGATAATAATAAAATATAATGAGATAAAACAAAACCAAACACACAGAGATAGGACAAAACAAAGAGAATTTAAAGAGCTAAAGAAAACAGCTACACATGCAGAGACCTTCTTGTTTGCGCATTCAGGAATCCCATAAAAGGGATAAACTGGGGGTCATAATATACACAGAAAAGACCTGTAAGATAAAAAGAAATAGAAATAAAACAAAATAAAAATTAATTTCAAAAAAGCCCTGACTTGACTTTATGAGATAAGGAAGCCCCAAAGATGCCGCTGTGTTCATTTTCTATTGGCCATCTACTGCTGGGCGTGTAGCCTACCCTTAGGAGTAGTTTGTTTCTCCACTGAGACTCCCTCAAGAAAACAACAACTTTCCTTTTAAGCAGATACCAACTGGAAATAGCTTCTGGGTTAGGGATGCAGACATGCATCCATGTCTCTTTCCTTCCTTCCTTCCTTCTTTCCTTACTTCCTTTTTTATTTTTCTTTTCCTTTGTGAAACAAGGTCTTTCCACATAGTTCTGACTGGCCTGGAACTCACTTTGTAAACCCTGTTAGCCTCAGACTCACAGAGATATGCCTGCCTCTGGCTCCTGAATGCTGGGATTAAGGACGTATATCACAGTGCCCGGCAAAGCCAGTCATGAAGGGTCTGGATCTGAGTACAGCATCTTCTGAGAGTCTACTGGCTTTTAAAATTAATTTTCAATTGTCTCATAGTAATTGTATATATTTAGGAGGTAGAGTAAAATGTAATATATGTATACAACAAATAAATATCTGGACAATAGACATATCTATCATCTTAAAAAATTATTATTTCTTTATGTTAGAAACATTAAAATATTTTCTATTAGCTATTCTGAAATAGACTATTAAATGTTGCTGACCGTAGCTGGTCTGCTGTGCTACACAATAGAGAACTAACTGTTGCTCCCGGTTTTTTGTTTTTTTGTTTTTGTTGTTGTTTTTTTCTTCAACTTAACATACACCACATCTTTATTTACTTGAAGACTGCCACAGTAAAGTGCCACAAAGAGAGAATCTTCTTGTCACATTCTGAAAATGGGAAGTCAGAGATTAAGATGTCAGAGAAGCTGTTCCTGCCAAGGGACCTGAGGGGATGGATGATCGTCTTGTGCCTCTGTTCAACTCTGGGCAGCTTGCTGGCAATCTCTGGTATCTCTCGGCTTGTAAGAGCATCACCCTGATCCTAATCTCCATCTTCTCCAAGGATTTTATTGATGTCATCTATGAAAACATCATTTCAAAGTAGATTCACATTCACAAGTGTAGGGGGTTTTGCACTACCTTTGTCTTTGGGATGCACACGATCAACCCATGACACCCTGGGATGCTTGCTTGTTATGAACAGCTTCCTAGCAGCTGGGGAATTGGTAGTTTGTTTACCTCTCTGTGATGCTTTGTAGGAAGGCAGAGAGTACAGACTAGAAGACTGACAGGGTCTGTTCCCGATGATCGTTTTCCCACTGTGTGACCCTTCTGATTTTTCGTAAAATAGAGAAGATAGGTTTGCTGAGAGAAGTCAGTGAGCTAAACTAGTGTTTGGCTGGCACGTGCTATCAACAAATCATGCTATGATTTTTATTCCTCTCAGGTTGTGGAGAGTATAGATTGATGACTCTGGCTGCTACTTATCGTGGTGGAGACTTCTGGAAGCTCCTGGGGCCCCAGTGTCCTTGACACTATGACTGATTGTTGTGAGGTGGGACGGAGGCATTGGCATTTCTAGGAGCCTCTTGGTTTATTTTAATGGGAATCCAGGTTTGGGACGTGCCAGAATGGATGGTAGGGATGAAACAGTATTAGAAATTTGATGGGGCTGGAAGTCCAGAGAGGACCATATACAGGTAAGGAAGAAACAGCTCAAGCCTGATAGATAAGGCTAGGTGCAGGTTTTGGAACACCAGGGGATCAGGTGACCCAGTTGTCACAACTCTTTCTTGCTTTGTCACATTCTTTCCCCCAAGCCTCCTTGAGGTTGGAGCCTCCCAGTGAGAGGCTGTCCTGGGCTATTCTGACACACAGTTGAGTCTTCACTACCGATGTGTCCTCAGACAGGCTGTTGTACTCCAGAACTGCATCCTGGTCTGTGAAGGGGATCTCTGGGATAGTTCAAGCGAGACCACTGCCTGATGTGCTGCCTACATTTGAACCAAAGCTTGTGGGGGCTCAAAGAAGCCTCTGTGGAAGACAGCTGAGGCACAGTTGGCACACTGGTGAACTGGGTCATGTCTGCCCAGAAGGTGAGAATGACCTACTTTGAGTAATTATGACCCCGACCCCCCTATTGTGACCTAGGGTGCTTTATGTCATTGGAAGACTATCACTGGCCCCCAACACTTTCTTTGGATTCATGTGGGTTCTGGAGGCAGTTGGTTAGGTGATGAGTCTCAGGAGTGCCCAAGGTAGTATTTGCCACTTTGGTCAGTTCAGGGACAGCATACGACTCTCAAGCTCTATTTGTTGGAACAGGGCAGCAATGTAGTTCCTCCCTCACTCTCTCTGGCTGCTCAGCACGAAACCATGGTTTCTCTATACACCTTGACTGTCTTCTAGAGCTTCTCTGAAGCTCCCAGAATCAGACACTAGCCCATTCATCCTCGTTAAGAACTCAGTATCACAGGAAGCTTCAAGGGGGCAAGGCAAGTCGTGATAGAACGATCTGCAAATAAGAGCATTTTATAAAGAGCGATGCTATCAATTCTCAAAATCTATAATCACAAAGAGGTTAGGAGTATCCTTTTGTCCCTTGATTTAATCAGTAAAAGCGTAGTAACTGTAACAGTTAATACAATTCTCTCATCTTGAGCTATTTTGAATAGTGTATCTGGTTTGGTGCTTCCCATGTTTCTTTGGCTTTGTGCAGCAATATTCCACAGGTAGCGAGCAGCCAGAGAAAAATGTCTCTCAACAAGGAAGTAGGTTATATTTCCATCTAGCAAGAACTTCGATGCAAGAAACAGCTGGTTTCTAATTGGCTCTTACAGATGCAAAGAAGAAAATGGAGCTTACCGTGGGGGAGTATCTTGGTCAAACTCAGCTTTTATCCTTGAATTCGGGTCAGTCTTTCCTGGTCAACCATCTGGAGGCTGCTGCTGGTGTCTGGAATGGAGAATGAGTTCCTTGCAGTGGCCCAAAGGTGCAAAATTGTGATGAGTACCATGCAAAGCAAGACCTCTCTCCATTGACTTGAATGACATCCTGCTGTGATTGCAGGAACTGATACAGTTTGAGCTGAATTCCCTGGCAAGCACTAGGGCTGGAAAAACCAAGCGTCATTTTAGACCACAAATGCACAGCCTTTCCATGTCTAATCATGAAGGCAAACCACTGGATACACACACTCTGTTTCCAACTGGTTGTGTACATTTTCTTCAGTCTTATACATAAAAACATGCCAAGGTGTGACATTTACGAACCCCACCAACTGGACGCTGTGCACACAGACTGTCTTGCCTGCGGTGCAGGAATGTGATGAATGGGGGCTGTTCTGTCTGGGAGGAGAGCTGCTGTCACTCTGGCATGACTGCAGCCTTATTTATTACACACCAAAAGTATAAAACCACACAGCCGGCTGCAGCTCTCATCTCCGAACCTGGCATTCGCCTGAGGCGAACCACGGTGCCTACAGCCCCCATCAGCTTCCCCGGGAGACTGTCTGATTTGTCGCACGCGCGCGCACGAGCCATGCTCAGGAGGCAGCTCGTCTGGTGGCACCTGCTGGCTTTGCTTTTCCTCCCATTTTGCCTGTGTCAAGATGAATACATGGAGGTGAGCAGAAGAGCTAATAAGGCGGTGGCCAGGATAGTGCAGAGCCACCAGCAGACTGGCCGTAGCGGCTCCAGGAGGGAGAAAGTGAGAGAGCAGAGCCAAGCTAAAACTGGGACTGTGGATAATAACACTTCTACAGACCTAAAATCCCTGAGACCAGATGAGCTTCCGCACCCTGAGGTAGAGGACCTAGCCCAGATCAACCCATTCTGGGGCCAGGTACTCAGAATTCTCTTCTAAGGATTTCTTTGAAAACTTAATGACTGTGGTTACTGTTGTTTTAACTAAGGTTCGTAGGATTGATGCTTGTGGGCAGTTTGATGAGCTGTTTGGGGGCGTCTCTGGGTTGTCTTGGGATTCAACAGGGACTCCTAGTCGTTGGCATGAGGTGCTGGGACAGAGTGGCCATAACGTTGTCCCATCACAAAAGAGAGCCAGAGGAGTCAGCTTCCTTTTGTGTTGGGACTTTTTTTTTTCTTTTTAAAATTGCTCTGTTGATGCAGAAAAAAATGGGCTGACCTATGTGGATAGATGCATTGCTGTAGATAATTATTTGCTGATTCCAGGAGAATTCGTTTCTTTTTAATCCTCCCCAGCAGGCAGAAGCTGCCCTTTGCCTCTGCCAAAAACTGTTAAGCCTGCTTTACTTGGATTTGTGGATTTTCTGTAACATTTTTTTCTCCAGTTTTGTTTATTTGTTTTGGATCGGTCTAGGTTGCTATGACTTCTTGTTTGACATTTTTTTTTTTTTTGGTAAAAACAGAATTAAAGCATTAAAAGGAAAGGAAGCAAAAAAGACAGCATATTTAAATCACACGCTGTATTGTATCATGCAGTGTTTCTGGATGACGAAACTTGATTTATTTGCTGAGGCAGAAGCTCAGCATCTCAGCACATTTCTTTAACTCTTTTAGGTAGCATTGGAGTGAGTAAAGGTTTTGGTGTAGTAAGTTGAGAATCACTAAACTTCTATGTAATCAAAAGCAGCAAAACCAGGAAGAAAAGTCTTTGTACTTTGGGCCTAAGTATGAAAAACTACTGAAGATAGCTGGAATGGGAATTAGGGTTACTTTAGACTGCACGAGGGTTTTCAGAACGTCTGTTTACACAGTTGCAATCAAAACCCCTACCCTGCCAGCCACAGACTCAGAAGTCTCAGTCGATCATCTGGTCCTGTGGTTGGACTAGAATCCCACACAGCCTGAGACATGTAACTAACAGGACTACACAGGGCAGTTTCCAAGTCTCTCCATGGGCTTTGTCAAGGGGAGATGTACACAGAACGCCTCTTTCAGAGACTGTCTTCTGTCGCTGATGCTTGCTCTGGTGGGCTTTCCAGCTGGATGGATGATGTCTTTCTTGGCTGTCCGTTAACGTGCTGCACGTTGTCTTTCATTATTTCCTGGCAACCAATACCAACCAGTCTGCTGGAATCCCAGTTATGGTTCTGCTCTACTCCACACTCTAGTCTTCCAGCCCTGCATTCCTGAAGCATTTTAAGATAAAGACCTACTTGAGCGACTCAGGAGATTCAGAGCCAGTAGCATCCTGGAAGCTTCCAGTACCATTTCTCTACAAATAGAAAAGCGCGCAGACTGAATTTGGGACCATGAGAACTTCTTCCTTCTCTCCCTACTTCCCCCCATCCTCTTCCTTAGGCTAATTCTCCTTTTCCCTAACAATTATTCCCCAAGCATTTCCCAGCTTCTACTTTTTCCAAGTTGTAGGATGGAGACTAAGAGCACAAATACACTCAAGCCACCCTCAAGTGCTCTGTTAGAAACAAAATTTTGTCATTTATTTGTTCATTCACTCATTCATTCATTCATTCATTCATTCATCTTCTTCGATCTCTTCTTATTTGTATTTAATTTTTTGTTACATTTTAAAATTAGCATGCAAAGCAATGGGTTTCATTATGAGAGCAACTGTACCTTCCTCATAGTCACCCAATCTTTTTGTTTTTGTTGCTGTTAATTTATTAACTAAGCTTAGTTAAATTCTGTGTGGTAAACAAGGTCAATGTACAAATAACACTCTGGAAGAGAAAGAATTGTGTCGTGTCGGTCACTGGGTCTTTAAAGCATAATAAAGTAAAAAGAGGAAACAAAAAGATGGCCGCCTACAGAGGTTTGGAGAGCAGTGGGTAAAAACCTGTGCTACACTGAGGACTGAGCAAGTCCATGAGCAACTGGTGTGGCTGGATCCTGTGCTGTACAGAGACTGCAGACGATCTGAGTGTCTTAACTAGTGAAGGAGTTCTGACATAACTTTGCTCCAGAAAGTTCTGTCTGACAAAGCAGGGCAGTGAGGTAATACAATTTGTGTACCGGGAAAGGGGCTGTCTAGAGAGTCCGTGATGGTTTGGAGCTGGAAGAGATCTACATATCTACATTTTTCTTTTTCTGGTGTTTTCTCAACTGTAGCCTCTCTCCTCCTCTTCCCATTTCCTTTCCCTTCCTGCCATCTCATTTCCCCAGGAAAGGAATTCTGTGTTCTTTCTCTCTAGTTATTAACAGCAGAACTCAGTTCTGCCTCTGGGTCTCCTTGCAGAGTGGATGAAGCTTATCTTACAGATATCTCTTCCTTCTTACGCTGTTCAACTTCGAGTTTCTACTGTATAATGACCAGATTTGGGAAGAAAGATGGCACATTTAAGACACCATGGATAATGACTTCCCATATGCAAATTCTTCCTTAGTGAGAATAAAATGTCTAAACCACATCCTGTCCAACTTCTGAGTCCATTAAAAATCGTAATGGCTCAGTCTGCCTGCTATGCCAGCATTGGACCTGAGTAGAGCTTTCCAGATCTCACCTAAAAAGCCAGGTGAGGCTGTGCACCTGTAACCCAGCGCCAGCGGTGGGAGGAAGCCTGGGTAGACTGGCAGATCCCTAATTTCACTGGCCAGCCAGCCTAGCTAATGTGTGAGCTTCAGGTGCAGTGCCCGTCTTATAAAATAATGGCGGAAGAAGGATATTCAACACCGATCTCTGGTCCCCAAGACATGCACACTCATGAGCACACATCTACACAAACAAATATACATCTCTCCCTCCTAACATCACTTTGCGTCCCTCCTTCTCTCCCTCTCTCCCTCCCTCCCTCCTTCCCTCCCTCCCTCCCTCCTTCCTTCCCTCCCTCCCTCCATCTTCACTGCACCATTCCATTTTCCCTCTGAACTGGACCTTGAAAGACAAGGGCTGAGGAAAGAACATACACTGAAATGCCATAAGAGGGTTCCTTTGAGGCACCCCTCCATGAGAACCAGGACTCTCTTGCCCTGGTAAGAGCTCTGTGATCCCAGTGTTACCCCCAGTTACCTTGTACACTCACCACTCATCCTTGTTAGCTTAAGTATTGAGGAGTACTACCTCCTTGTGTTCGGATACTAGACTTTTACAAATGCAAGCAACAGGACTCTCTTGTCTGAGCTGGATCCGCAGGCAGAGGTCCTGGCTACCAAGCCCAATTGTCTCTTACTCAGGACTCATATTTTGTCCTCTGATGGCCACATCACATGTCCCACACATATAATAAAGAAATAAATGTAATAAAAATGTTTAAACATAATAAAAATTAAAAGTCCTTTCGAAATTGTTATTGGAAGTTAAACAAAATAGCATTTTTTTGCTTGCGTCTTAGAGCTGGAAAACAAATTCAAGGCCAACTCAGACTGATGTCTGGGAGTGGTGACTCTTCTAAGGCCACACAGAACTGAGAAGGGACAATGGTCCCAGTGCAGTGATTTATTCTAATAGTTATAAGCCTTTCAGGTTTTTCATTATGTTCTTACACAAGGATTTCTATACCCTGCCTCCTTTATCTATCCTCAAAATCCATCATTGGCCAAACTCTGGATTTCCTGGGGGTTTGAAGCTTTATTTCACGTTAGCAAAGCACAGCAGGAGGTGATCACCCCTCTGATATGCATGGAAGCTGGAGTTGGCTGTGGTGTTTGAGTTCCAAGCTTTGTCACATCTGACCATGTGTATTAGTTGATATTTTTTTCCTTATCCATTAATCATTTCTATCTGTCTGTGGTTGGTCCTGCCAGAGGCAAAGCTAAGAGTTATCTCCAGCTTTGAGCTCTTCATCCCTCAATGCTGCCTTCTGAGCTGTGGAGGCAGAGCATGTGGACCAGGGTGGGTTATTCCCTCAATAGTTTTATGGAAAACTTCAGGGAATAGGAAGGACAGGGACCTTGCCCATAAGACCAATCACTAAAAGTAAGGCATAGATGTGCACTGGGGTAAAGTGATCCAGCTTTCCCCAGAGAAGGTGTCTAGTGGGGGGAGAACAGAAACTTTCAGATCTTCCCTCCATCACTCGCTACCTTTGTCCTCTGCTCTGCCCACTCCATTTTCCCCTCCTTTTCTTTTTGCAACGAATCTCTTAGCAACAACGTGCTATTTTCAAAACGGTTGAATTATAGCTGGTGTCTAGGAAAGTTTCCACAAGTATTTTGCATGACACAATCAATAGGCAGGTTGCCAGTGTAGATGAGAATCCATATTTTACAAGTTCTGACTCTTCCCTCTGCTCAGTTCCCTGGGTTTCCCTTCACAGCAAGCACACACTTTAAAATGTTTTCTTTCTACAAATAAGCATTTTACTGGAAGTCACAGCTTTTTGCATACTTAGTACCTGTTGGTGCTCACTAAATATTAGTTCTTGCAGTAAAGTAGTAACTTTAAATTTAGGAGAGGGATATGTGAAATGTTAAATACTTATATTGAGGTTAAAATCGCTCAGTGTGTAGATGTCAAAAATCCATTGGACAAATGCAGTTAATAGCAGTGTATTGTATTCTTGAAAACTGTCAAGAGTGTAGATTTTGAATGCCGTCACCCTAGGAAAGCAAATGAGGTAATACATATCTTGACTAGCCGTTTAACAAGGATGCACATGCAAATCTCAAAACAGCTGCTGTGTATGACAACTATATTTCTACTTCTCAATTAAAAAAGTAAGTGAGCGAATATACAATTCATTTCCTCAGCAGTATGTGTGCTTTGGAGGTCTGAGAAAGTGGAGAGACAGAATTTCTAGGACTACTTAAGCCGGGATGAGGGAGGCGGTGTCTTGGGGTTCCAGTTCAAGTTGCTGGTTGTTTGTATTGACAGTTACCTTAGTCTAACTGTACCTGAGACTTCTTGGTATTGAGAGAGAGGAGGTTTCTTTCCATGTCTTTTTCGGAATGAGATCCTGCTCTTGCTGTCATAAGCTGACATGGGCAGCAGCTGACCAAGGCTGCCACTCTCTCTGCACAGCCACATTTACATCTCAGCACATTTTCTGCGGAATTTCTGTTTCCTGTGCCTTTGATCACCCACTGGCCTTAATGACTCCCATAGACATTTGAGCATTCAAATCTTCTCTGAATGTGACTGTGAGTTGACTGGAGTGAAACTTATTTAAGGCCAGAGGAAGTTATAATGTTCTTAAGTGCTCTCAAAATACCTTTACCTGAAGTTTCTTTTTCCATCATTTTTTTTTTTTTTTAGTCTCCACAAGCCGGAGGGCTGCCTCCAGACTGCAGCAAGTGTTGTCATGGTGATTATGGATTTCGTGGTTACCAAGGGCCCCCTGGACCCCCAGGTCCTCCTGGCATTCCAGGTAAGGACCAGCAAGGGACACTGCCATGTCAGTAGCAGAGTGGATCAGAACTAGGAGCCAAGAGCAAACTGGGTATGCATGGAAAATGCAAAGATAAAGAACTTGGTAGGGGAGTTGGGTTCTCTGGGCCAGTTCAAGTGAAATGCTACTTTACAGCCTGTATTCTCTACACTACTCCAAGAATCTGAAGGGCTTCAAGGAAGCGAGGCTCCTCACCACTTGGCCAACAGAACCACTTACCAGGAATTGAAACACAACAGTCCCCTAAGTACCAGTCCCCTTCTGTTACTGTTGCAAATCCCTGAGCTAAGTAACACACAGAAGAGGATTATTTTGCTCATGTGTCCAGAGGCTTCTCCTCTGGCTGGCTAAGCCTACATTTGGGACCATAGTGAAGTCCTACCTCAGGATGGGGGAGCTCTTGTGGATCGAAGCCACTCCCCTCTTGACAGCCAGGAAGTGAGAGAGCAGAAGAGAACAGGTTCACCTCCACATCCGTCAAACCTTGCACCCTTAGCCTTAGTTACCTCTAACCTTCAACCAGACCACACCCCTTAGCGTTTAACACCACTTCCCAACAGCGTCTTACCAGGAACAAGCCTCTAATATGTGGACTTTGGGGAGATGTTTATCTAAGTCACACTGGCCAGTATTTCTGCCATAATATATTCTACATGACACTCTATAACTTTCTTAAACCTTATTAAATAGAGGCAGGTAGAGAGGGAAGCTTGCTGGGTTTCTTTCTGATATCCACTGACCAGTGCTAACTTTTTGTGTCATTTTAGGTTTAGGTTGGGTTTTTTTTATCTGTTTTTGTTTTTAATTTCCCCAATCTCTATTGTTTCTCAGCTGATTTTCATGCCTTATTTGGTCTCGTGGATACCCTTTGACCTCTAGCAGCACACAACTGAACAGTGAATGCTCTTGAGCTCATCAGATCCTCTAGAGCAGTGCTCCTCAACCTTCCTAGTGCTGTGACCCTTTGATACAGTTCCCAGTGCTGTGGTGACCCCCCCCAACTTAAAAATTACTTCATTGCTACTTTGTAATTGTAATTTTGCTAGTTACAAATCATAATATAAATATCTACTATTTCCGATGGTCTTAGGTGACCCCTATGAAAAAGTCTGTTGACCCTACGCAGATCGTGGCACACAGGTTGAGAACCGCTGCTACTCTAGATCCACGGCTAGACTTCCGTGTTATATTGTTCCAGCCACTTAGGCTCAAGGGCACTCTGTTAGAGCCTTACGATAATGAACTGGATGGGCAAAGGGCAGACTTTCCTACCTGCCCCCACCCCTGAGGAGTCTAAAACCATCCAGTGTTTCACTGAGTTCCTTTGACAAGATCTCTTTTCAGATTTGGCCAAAGTCTACTTGTGTTGTTTGACTTTCCCTCGTTGGTGTTAATATTTATCAAAAACACTAACTTTTGTACACTCTTAGATAAGTTCTCATATGAGGCCAAATTTATAATGAAAAAAAAAAAAGAGAGAGAGACAAAACCCTGCCCTCTATTTAAACTTTTGTCTTGTCTATCAAAGGCAATGATTCACAGGGTCAATGACGTGATGCAAAGCATCTTCAGACCCTTCTAGAATCTTTGTTGACCTTCTCTGAGGTTACAGGGCAAGCTGGCTTTGGTTAAATGTTTCCCATTGGAAAGTGCCTTGGGACAGAACACTAACTAACATCAAAGTTCATTGGTCTGAAAGCATTGCAAGCCTGTGACAAGTCAAAGATAACATACAAAGTATAATGCAAGAGGGCCTGAAGGTTAGCATATACAAGAAGGGATTGTTCCGTGAGACAAACTGAACCTTTCAATTTACTACCGGACTCTTGATTTTTAAAACGGCTATAATATTTTATGAATTTTTCTACCAGTTATAGAATTGCTTCAAACCTTTGGTAGAAAATTTGAAGGAGACAGAAAAGAATACATTACACAAAATCACCCATGTCTCATCCATTCAGGAAACATATAAATGATTGAGGATAAAACTAGAGTTAGTTTTTCCTCTATGGATGTAATATGTAAAAACATAATGACCCACACTGAAACAGTGCTATGCCACCCCTGTTTATTTATCAACTTATACCTAAAGATGTCACTGAGGTTTATTCTAACATTGACTATTTAAAATATTTTTATAATTTGATAAGAACATACCATTGCTAAAATGTAGACATTCTAGCATTGGTGGGTATGTGCTTTTAAAGCCTTCACTGTGTTCGATGATGATGTGATGGTGAATCTTCCACACCTTCCCTCCTTCATTCCTTGCTGTTCAGAAAAGCATGCTTTGCAGTCTTGGTTTTCAGTGTTCTTTTCAGAGCCTAGTAAAAGAGTCTGTCTGATGCCCTTTGAGTACTATGGTCAGGGTTGTTATAAATGCTTTTACAACTGAGTCGGGATATATTTGAAGGAAGGGCTGTGTTTGTCTAAAAAACACATTCTGAGAGGAGTGACCAAGTTTGCTCATATGATTTCTAATTTTTAAAGGAAACCATGGAAACAATGGGAACAATGGAGCCACTGGCCATGAAGGGGCCAAAGGTGAGAAAGGAGACAAAGGCGACCTGGGGCCTCGAGGGGAACGGGGGCAGCATGGCCCCAAAGGAGAGAAGGGCTACCCAGGAGTGCCACCAGAACTGCAGGTAAACCACCCTTCAGGTGACTGATAACCTTGCCTGAACATTAGGGACCAGGGACCAAAAGGATTTAGTGAACAAGCCTTCGCTCGTCTTGAGGAAATCTCAGTTTCAGTTGGCTCATCTACATGGCAGGATGCTTGCACCAAGCCTGTGCTGTCAAACACAGCTTTGCGAACATTCTTAGGTCAGGGTATTTACTGAGTGTGAAATCCAACTCTCTCGTAGGAACAAATACGATGCAACCATAAATATGAACTCATATCCTATTTTCCAGATGAGACAATGGGTTAAATAAGAGGGTTTAAACCAATTTGAACACTGAAACAGTTAAGTATATATGGAATGGCTAAGCATCTACTTAGATTTTATTTGCTGATTTGCCACTTTGTATAGTAAAATTTCATCTTTGTAGATTGACATTGTTTCTCTTAAATCAGATTTTGCAGTTCTATTTTTTATTAAACTTTTCACATCAGACTCTTCTGACCATGAGGAACATTTTATTTTTGAGTTATTCAATTTGCTAGGCCAGATTATGTTTCTCTCAGCATGAGGTTTTTTAAAAAAAACCTATTATATGGACATAAACCATTTATGATTTATATATTTTTTATTTCTCTTTTAACCTATCTTTCAACATCTAAAATTTGTAAATATTGAGGTTAGGCCACCCAGAAAAATGATTAAGTTTAAGTTTGTTAATATTTAGAGATGGATTCTCCTAGAAGACGTCTGTATCAACATGGTAAACTAGGTTTTTTTATTGTTGTCCAGATTATTGGTTAAAATTAAGTATTTGGGAGAAAATTCTGTAACAAAAGAGATATTTTGGCATCCAAAGCTGTTCTTTTTTGAAAGATCAGAGGAGAGTGCTGTTTGGGCAAATACAGAGATGTTTACTCTTGAATGCATTGCATCATTCTTCTGGGTTCCTCTTATGCACGTGTAAAGAAGATGTCCTCTGTGTTACTAGACCTGATTGTGAGATTTGGGGGGAACTTTAAGCAAATACTGTTTAATAATTTCAGCATGCTGGGATTCATATGCCAGTACAAATTAACAAGTAGGGTGGGAAGCCATCTTGGCTAAGGTATTTTCTATGATGGTCTAGATATAAATGAAAACTAGCAACACAGAACATATAGATGGTCTTTTCCTAGAATAGGTAATTTAATGGAGAACACACCGAGAAATCATTATATTTCATCTATTAACCTCTTTACCTTACCGTGACAATACAGTCATTTGAGATGTTGCTTTCTCGTGCTTTACGGAAGACAGACTTGAGACGTTTGTGAAGACAACTGGTCAAAATGCAGAGAGTGACTGATTGTGAGCTGCCCAGCCCTAGCTGACTCATCTTCAACACAAGCCCCCACCTAAGGCTCAGAGAACATCACAGGAGGTGCAGACAGATTGCTAGAGCTGAGGACCAGGAAGTGTGCTGTACAATTGTGTCTCCTAGAAATAACTGGAAAGATACACCTATAAAACCTCATCCACATTGCTGAACAATGATAGCTCTGACAGACAACATGCTAACATGAGAGGCTGAATTTCTTAGGCTCCAGTTCTAGACAATGAGCTTCAGTCAACTAACCACAGACACAGGGAGATTCGGCTTTCTTCAGGGATGAGCCCCTAATTGGTTATCCAACACTAAGTGTCGAGTCCTGAATAGATATACATTCAAACAACAGTAAAAGGAGACAGCAGGTTATGTTTATGCATTTGCACAGCTATGTATGTAACAATAATCATTTAAGAAGAATCACAGAAGGAGGGAAGGGGAGCATAGGAAGGGAAGCATTGGAGGGAAGGCACCGGAGAATGAAGAGGAATAACATTTTAATTTTAAAATTTGCAAATTTAAAAATTAATCAAAAAGGAAGCTTGCGAAGAAGGGGCTTGGGCATCCTTTGGCTGTTAGTTTGTTCTTCTCTCTCCTATTTATTTTCAAGGGACTGCCACTGACTTTCAAATGTCCTCCAATACTGTCATCAGGTAATACCATTTCTTGATAGACAGAGTTGTTCTAAAGCTCTTTTAATTATTCAAGTTCTATTTTTAGAACAACAGTAGCAGTGACAATGGCAGCAGCAGTAAAGGAGAAATGACCATGACTCATGCTCCACTGAAGGGACACAGAAATTTGAGTTTCAGATGTAAGACAAGACTCAATATCATATCTTCAAATAGACAGACTACTCCCCAAGCCCCTGGATCACGTGGTTGGAGCTAGGAGCAGGTGTATTAGAATAGCTGTTCTCAGAGATTGAGCTGAGGCTGTCGACATTTCCTAAACACAAGGGATTGGCCATGAGCCAAGGTGGGGCTGCTCACAGTAATTGCTCCTCTGCTTCTCTTGAATTTTCTGCTCCAATTTATTTGCTATGTATTTTATGCAAAATTATCCTCAGAAAATTTGCTTTTCCAACAGGCAGATAGGTTTCTGATTCTATCTAACCACTTTTTCTATATTTTGGAAAACTGCAAATGTCTCTTTTGCATCTTAAAGATGATTCATACAATACCCTTTCATTGTAAAGAAAAATAATAAATAAAACATAGGTGTGCAAAATAAAAGAAGTCCAGAGACAATCACTATAGTATATAGTCAAGTAACTTAACTGAATTATTTTTCTAATAAAGGAGGCCCCCTGTGACACAAGGACCACAGTCACAGAGGGCAACTTGGAACTCGCCAGGGCTGGCCCCAAACTCACGGACGTGGATTGCTGCTTCAGCTTCTCAAGCTGCTAGGATTACAGCCATGTTATACCAAGTCCAGCCAATATTCTTAAACACACATGAGCATGCAGCATTATTTATGACTGTTTCATAAATGGCATTATTTCATGAACACTTATATAAATGAACAGAACTCCATAACATTGAAATAAGTATATTTTCTGGATATAAAATACATTCTTATGTGAAAACTATACTTGTAATAAGAAAGAAAATTTTTTTACAGGGGACTACTATGCCACGAGCCCTGTCAGTAGTAATGCTGTGGATGTTCTTTAAAAAAAAATTAAATTACATTTATTTATTTGGAGGGGGCATACACCTGCTATTGCATATGGATAGAGGTCAGAAAAGAGGACAACTTTGGGGGAATTGGTTCTCTTCATCTGTAATGGGCTTACTGAGAGCCAAACTCAGGTCATCATGTCTAATAACAAGCACCGTCACCTGCTCAGCCATCTTACGAACCATTGATGCATCTTCTCACAGATATGTCTCTCAGTTTGACTACAGAACAACCCCACTTACAAAGACACACGTAACAAAGTCATAGTAGTCTTGTGTTTCCTACTTTTTACGCTTTCCTAGGGTTAACAAAAATACGAATTGAATTAAAAATTAAATAGTCAGTTTCTCTAATTGCTCAATATGAAAATGTACTTCCAATATCTGCAGTCTGAGAATTTTATCCAAAATTTCCCAGTTTTACTTGATAACAGAGTTTTGATATTTAAAACTGTATCTTTTAAAGGCTAGTAGGTTTCGAACTGTGTTTAGAACTGGTAATGCTTACTAATACCACACAGCATAAAACATTTTAAATTACTATAATTCACTTGCTTATTTGCCTACTGCTTGGTATTTATATTTAAGCTTACCATCACAGGTAATATTGAAATGAATGTATGTGTCTAAGAATGTTTTTCTTCATGACAAACTGCCCACGGACTGACGGCCAGTTCTATCGGCAGATTGCGTTCATGGCTTCGCTAGCGACTCACTTCAGCAATCAGAACAGCGGCATTATCTTCAGCAGCGTGGAGACCAACATTGGAAACTTCTTCGACGTCATGACTGGGAGGTTTGGGGCCCCCGTATCAGGTGAGATGCAAGAATCATCGGATGAAGCCACTGGAAAGAGAAAGCAGGCAGGAGGGAGAGAAAGAAGATGAGGCGGTGGAATGAGAGGGAGAAGGGACTAGAAGAAGAAAGGCAGGAAGGAAAGGAGAAAATGGATGAAAACAAGAGAGGGGTGGGCAGAAGGAGGAGAAGGAGGAAGGAAAACAAGGAGAGGTGGGAAGGAGGGAGGATGAGA